AGTCGTTGACTAGTGTTGACCCTAAGTAGCTTACCTTCTTTTTTGTTTGTTTGTTTTTTGTTTTGTTTTGTTGAGACTAGGTTTCTCTGTAGCTTTGGAGCCTTCCTGGAACTAACTCTGTAGACCAGGCTGGCCTTGAACTCACAGAGATCTGCTTGTCTCTGCCTCCCAAGTGCTGGGATTAAAGGTGTGCACCACCACTGCCTGGTGTATCCTACCTTCTTGCAGGATGATTTGGGACTTTGACTTGCATCTGCTAAAATAAACTCAAGCAAGTATTTGAGCTGGTAGTTCTTAATCTACACTAGAGAATTACCTAGGACATGTTTGAAAAACAGCACTGGTTCCCTCTGATTGCAGGGCAACCCTAAACCAGATGTCCTTAGTGGGTGGTTGTGCATCAGCTCTCCCTGAAACAGGAGCAGGGTGGGATAGGGGACTTTGTGTCTGCCTGCCTGCCTGCCTGCATGTTTGAAAAACAGCACTGGTTCCCTCTGATTGCAGGGCAACCCTAAACCAGATGTCCTTAGTGGGTGGTTGTGCATCAGCTCTCCCTGAAACAGGAGCAGGGTGGGATAGGGGACTTTGTGTCTGCCTGCCTGCCTGCCTGCCTGTCTGTCTGTCTTTCTGTTTGTCTGATTTTTGCAATGCTAGGGATAGAACCGAGGCTTCACAGCCTAACAAAGTAGAGATGTTCTGGTTATTGAAAAGGTTAACTTGAGGACATAGTCAAAAGACAGACAAGCACAAAAGTGCATGCCTTTAACTCTACCATTTGGGAGGCAGAGACAGGCAGATCTTGGTGAGTTCCAGATCAGCCTGGTCTATATAGTGAGACCCTGTCACACATACAAAGAAGATACAAGGACTCGAATGCCAGCTTAAGGGGGCTCTGGTTGTGTCAGGCCTTTGGGGCACCACAGTAGACAAAACCAACTTGGTGGGCTTATTGTACCGAGGGAAGAGGTGGACTGGAGGTTGATAGAGAAGCACATAATGACTGGAACTGGCCTGGGTTTTGAGTGCCTTGGGCCTCCTGCATGCTAAGCCAGCACCCTAGCACCCAGCTACACCCCAGCCTTCATTTATAGCTGCTCTGTACTCTTTGTGTGTGTGATGCTGAAGTAGGAGTAGGAGTGTGTGTGTGTGCATGCGTGCGTGCATGTGTGTGTGAGTGTGTATGTGTGTGTGTGTCTTCGCATGTGTGACTGGGTGAGAGGCAGGAGCATTCCCTGCTGGAGGTCAGAGAGCAACCTTGGGGGTTCGTCCTCATCTTCCACTCTATTGGGGACAGGTTTCCTGCTGTGGCCACTCTATACTCTATGCCAGGCTCTCTGGTCTGTGAGCCTCTGGGAATTCCTCTCTCTGCTCCCATCTCAACATACAAGCACTGGGATTAGAAAGATGTGCTCCCCACAGGGCTATGAGTTTCCAGTGTAAGCCCTCTGCCCAATGAGACCTCTCCCTAGATCTAGCTTTTTTATTTGTGTGTTTGTGTGTGTTTATGTGTGTATATGCATATGCTGTATGTTCACTTGTGTGTAGGTACACGTGCTTGAGTGGGTGGAGGCCAGATGAGGATGTCCGGTGTTCTGTTCTGTCATTTCCATCTTATTATTTTGAGACAGGGTCTCTCCCTGAGCTTGGAGCTGAGCTTGCAGGCTTTCAGCAAGCCCTAGGATCCCCCTGTTTGTGCCCCCCCCCCATGCTGAAGTTAGAGGTGTAAGTGCAGTCATGCCCAGCTTTTTACATGGGTGCTGGGGATTTGAACTCAGGTCCTCACGTTCACAGTGCATGATTGTGAACTGATTCTTACTGATCTATCTCCCCAGCAGCTTACTTTTTCTTCTGCGGTGTTGTCTCACTGAGTTGCCGACTGATCGTAAACTCACTCTGCAACCCAGTCAGGCATTTCTCAGCCTCCTGAACAGCTGGGGTGACAGGCGTGGACCAGTAGGCCCCAGCTCTGGGTAGGGGAGTGGGAGTTTAAGTGTTGGCAGAAGGTCTGTTTGAGTAGCTGATAAGAAACCTGACTTGCAGTGAGGCACATTGAGATGACACCTGCAAAGGCCCTGAGGTGACCGCATACTTTGTATCTTTGAGAAACAAAAGACCAGTGTGTGGAAAGAGAAAACAAAGGTAAGTGGACGGAAGTCACAGGTACAGACACACAGGGCTAAGATAAAGCACTCAATTCTTCCCGTTTGGGTTAGCTTCCAGATTCCAGTAGTGTTATCCACCTTCAGGAGTCGGCTGTGACCTAGGGCTGGTCATTTCCCCTCTATGGGTCTGTTTTCCTTTACGGTGGATTGGCCCGGTTATATGTGCCCAGGTAGTATCCTTGGAGACTCTAGACGTCCACACATAAACTAAATAAATAAATGCCCACCACCGTATGGTTCTGGAACACTTTGGAAGCTGTCGGTGACATTTGCTTGGCAGGCAGACATCCGCCAGCATTGACTTCCTGGGCTGAGCTGGCCTTATTTCACATGCCCTGTCTGGCTCCAGGAGGAGGAGGAGGAGAACGAGGTCTGGGGGCGCTGAAGGCAGGGGCTCAGGCCGCGTGTCTGTGTGGCTAAGGATAGGGCCCTGAGAAGGTGTCAGTTTTTTATGAATGATTTCCTGACAAGACTGACTCAGCCTCAGCCCAAGGCTGCAAGAGCTGGGGAGCAGGCCTCCTTTCCGGAGCCTAATCCGCCCCGGGGCAGCTGGCTCCAGAGACGGAAAGGCCTGCAGTTCCAAGTGATGAGGTGGGGGACACCAGTGGTTTTTCACCTCCCAGCTTTTCTTAGCTTGTCAGGGTTGCAGTGGGGGAGGAGTAGAGCCACTGACTTCTCCTCCTCCTCCTCGGGCTCCAGGCTCCCTCCTTCTTAGAAGGCTGTCAGCAGCTTTCAGCTCCACTGCCTGTCAGGAGCCTGCCCAGCCTCCAGCAGAGGTGTCATGGGAGGAGTAAGTCTCTTGTTCCACAGGATCCCTCAGCTCCCACAAGCCTCTGCAGCCAGGCCTAGAAGCAGAAGGCAGGGTGGGAGCAGGATGAGGGCAGAGCTCCTGGGAAGCCTGACAGGGAGATCAGAAAGGATTCTGCCTTCCCAGCCCCCAGCTTCCTCCCCAGAATATTCTAGTACTGGAATATTTGCTAGGTTCAGAAAAATCATTCCCGGGGAAAACCCTGTGCTTTTGACTACTGTGGGAGGGTTTTCAGGCCCATCTCAAAGCCTGGACAGAGCAGAGCATGGTGGCTCACACCTGTCATCCCAGCATGCAATTAAGGCAGGAGGAACATAACAAGTTCAAGGCCAGCCTGGACTACGTAGAGAGTTTTAGGCTAGCCAGGGCTCTACAAGCTATAGTATGAGATCCATCTCAAAAAACAAGCTGGGTATAGTGGCTTGCCCCAATCCTAGCATTTGGGATGCATGGGTGGCAGGGGGTGTCTCTGAGTTTGGGGCTAGCCTGGTCTACATAGAGAGTTTCGGGCCAATCAGAGAGACACAGTGAAGCCCTCTAACAAAAAAATCAGAACAAACACTAAAGTAAAAACAAGTCAGCCATGGTGGCGTGTGCCACCACTTGGCCCTCACTTGGCTCACTAAAGAGCACTGAGATGAGCCAAGGCCCAGCTCAGCTTTGCCGCCACTCTCTGCTCAGGCCTCAGAGGAGAGACAAAGACCCCCAGCGCTCCTGAGGTGATGATGCCCACCCACGTGGGCTCTGGGATTCACCATGCAGGGGACCACTAGGCTCCAGTACTCTCTCCTGGGATCAGCTGTGATGATGGCGTCCGGGAAACTTCTCACAGTGGAGTAGAGTGGAGTGGGCAGAGGAGGCTGCTCTGCAGGACCAGACGGTCGGTCGAATTCTGAGAAGCCTCTGGCACAAGCCTCCTTCTCCCACTGCCCTGTCAGCAGGCCAAGCCCTGGAATTTTGTGCCAAATCTCTGGAAAAGGCCCTGTCCTGACAGTCAGGGGACAGAATAACAAGATTAAAAGGGTGGTGGTGGCAAATGACTGTAATCCTGGCCCTTGGGGGGGGGTGTAGAAAAGAGGGTCGGAAATTCAAGGTCGTCTTGACACCAGTTTGGGCAGCATGAGACCCTGTCTCAATAGATAGATGACAGACAGTCAGACAGACTTAAAATAAGTGACTACAAAGGCCTGGAAGCCACCCCCAGCCTTCCTTACCATCTACCATCTGAGTCGGTGTGCCAAGGCCTTCCCCTCTCCTACTCATACTGGCTGGAAGCCTGGCAGGTGTGACTGTTTCCTTAGGTTCAATGCCTTCTCTGGAGGAGTGAAATCGGGAAGTCCCACAGGTCCCGTGGGATTCACAGGCTGCTGCCCTTCTGGACAGCCAGGACAGCCGGGAGTGATTGCTGTTGTCATGGGCGTTTTACCTTGTTCATGACAGGTACAGACCTCCACCTGGAGGTCACCATCTTTTTGTATCCCCCCACAGGGCTCTGGTGGGGACCTCCATCCCTGTACTTAATTCTCCAACATGCCTGTCTCCCTACTTAGATGTAAAGTTTCCTGGAGTTCTGATCTATCAAACCCGCAGCTGACACCCATTACTTGTGGAAAGAACTTCTGATTGTCACTGAGGAGGGGGAAAAGGGAAGTGAGGTCCCTCTCCCGTCACCGACCAGTGCCGCCCCCGTTTTTATGATATTAGGGATTGAACCCAAGGTTCCCCTCTGCTTCCCTCTGTTCTTATTGGCAGAGCCAGGGTGCCATGGTCACTTCTGAAGCCCTTGACACCAGAAGAGGCAGGGATGTCACCGGGGAAGAGTGGCGGCTACAGGGTGTACTTCCTCTTCTACTCACACCTGCCACATCCTGGCTGTGTGTGGTTTCTGCCCTCTGTGAGAGCCGATAAACCGAGTCTGGAGGCCCAGCACCACTCCCGCCCCCGCCCCCGCCCCCGCCCCCGTGCCTCCCATGGCTGGGCTTGGTAGAAGGCCCCTTACCCGGAGCGGTACTTGGCACGTGGATGCTGGATGCAGGCGTATGGCAGGCAGGTAGACTGGCAAGCTGGCAATCAACAGCCTCTGGGTTGCCAAGGACATTTGACACACTGCCCTACAAGCTTGCGTCTTGGAACGCTGAGCTGAGCTGGCTCTAGAACAAGAGTGCAACAAATCGGCCCACACTCCTGTGCGGAGGTTGGGAGTGCCAGGCTCAGGGCCCTTTGGAGGCTTGCACTGCTGCTCTCGGATACTGCCTAGGCCTGTGTTTACACCAAGGTGGCTCTCAGCACGGAGCAGCGAGGACCAGAGAAGGCAATGAAGGAGGTGCAGCTGCTGCTGGCTTTATCACCTGTTTCGGGAACGTGGGGCACTGTGTTCTGCAACTGAGAGACTCCAGGATCCAATTCAGCCATGAGAGGCTTTTTAGACAACTCTCAGGGACACCTGGCGCTCACCGGCCTCCCAGGTGTCCCAGCCCGTGTTCAGGGCGTGCTCTGGACTTCCAGGCCAAGCGAATAAAGGACAGGTGCCTGGCCTAAGTTAGGAGAGCAGACTCTGGTACTACAGAGTTATTCTATAGCCTGGTCCCGTGCCTCGGTTTCTGTTAGATAGTCCTGTGAGGTCCAGCCCCCGCTGCTTCTGGTTGCCTGGTGTCTTTCGGTACGACTGCTCTGCTTTGACCTTGAGGGCGGGAGCTTGGTGAACTCCTTCACTGGCAGGTCTGAGGTCCACTGTCCTTTTCTCCAAGAGGCCTTCCCTGGTCACTCACCTGCCTCATCTCATGCCCCACGATGGTTTAGGGCTCTGTGTGTTGTGTCTTCTCCCAGCGCCAGAGCTTGGTGCTTTTGTAATGCTATGTACCCTTGATTGGCCTGGAACATTTTGTTTGTTTGTATGTTTTTTAAGATTTATTTATTTATTATGCATACAGTGTTCTGCCTGCATGTATGCCTGCATGCCAGAAGAGGGCACCAGATCTCAGTATAGATGGTTGTGAGCCACCAACCATCAACTGGGAATTGAATTCAGGACTTCTGGAAGAACAACCAGTGCTATTAACCTCTGAGTCATCTCTCTAGCCTGGTCTGGAACTTCTTTTGTAGACCAGGCTGGCCTCAAGCTCATAGAACTCTGTCTGCCTCTGCCTTCCAAGTGCTGGAATTAAATGTGTGTGCCACCAAGTCCAGCTTTTTCCTGAACCTTGGAAGTGCAGCAGACAGCAGGGTGGATACTGGTACCTTAGAAATCTAGCTCAGAACAAGGATGGGCCTTCCTGGAGCCACCACAGTGGTCACGAGCTCTGTGTCTTTGCTGCTGTAGCTCTCTGCTGCTCCCTGGTGGACGAGTGTATGTGTGCTCATGCATGTGTGAAGCCTGGTGTGTATGCAGAAAGTAAGCCCTGTAAGGAGGGCGCTGGACCTGAGGTAGGCAGAAGACAAGGAGACAGTGCCTGGAAAAATGGCCGGGTTGACCTGAGAAAATGGGCCAGTAAATAAAGTGCTTGCTATACAAGGTCAAGGACCTGAGTTTGTATCCCTAGTGCCCATGTTAGAGAGAGAGAGAGATAGAGAGAGAGAGAAAGAGAGAGAGAGAGAGAGAGAGAGAGAGAGAGAGAGAGAGAGAG